AAAGAAAGAAAGAAAGAAAGAAAGAAAGAAGGAAATAAATAGTAGGAGAAAAAAAATGCCCTTCGATATCTTTTTAAAAACAATAATTCCAAAGAAATTTAGTAGGCTTGAGCGTTCGTTAATATTTCTGGAAGATGACTCCATATTGGAAACGGGTCTGCTCACAAAATGGAAATCTTTATAATAGATTCAAAATGTTATCTTTAATGGCCGATTTGCGTTAGTTAAAATATCTTTCGAAGATAAACTCGATAGTGGAAACACGGTTAGCTTTGGCTTTGCTAAAGGAATTATAATGTCACGTTAAGGTGTAGCCTACCCAGTGAAACTCTATATTTCCCGCTGGCGGTAAAAATTCATATTCCCGAATTCCATTTTATTTTTTTAAGTCAGGGTCCTGTCTGTCAACGAACTTATCATAGTTAGTCATTTTTAAAGGCAGCACAAAAAAAATGACAAAATAAAAGCAGCGGAAAATTAATAATTTACCAGGACATGATATGAGACTTCAAGTCGAAAAACGAATCCTTTATTGATCTATTCTTGCCTTCTCAATTTTTTTTTCTCTATTTTTCTATCTTTCTCAAATATATGTACAAGATAATTTAAAATTTCGATAATGTATTGGATATATTTATTTATTTATTTTTGGGGGCAAATTTTTAAAAATAATTTTGTGCAACTGTTTTCCATTAACTGCCACCTTGATGGGTTAATGTCTTCTTTGAAATTGGAACTTTCTAGAATAATCAAAATAATTTATTTATCTATTTTTTTCAAAAAAAAACGCATCCTTCATATTCGATGCGATTTATATTTTATATAACCGTGTTCCACATTTCAATTCCTTCACTTTTTTTCTCATATTTTTTTTTCCTTTTAGTAATTGGTGTGTCCTAATTGTTTGAAAAAATCAACATGTGGAGAGAAAAAATGGATGAACAAACAAAAAAAAATAGCAAAAGAAAAAAAAGGAATAAATAAAAAAAAAGAAAGAATGAAAGAGGGGTGAATCGAAACATATCAGCTGATTTGAGACGACAGAAAGGATATACTTTTTCTAGTCTGTTCATCAAAGTTCCATATCTTTCGATTGGGTAATATCGGAGTTGGACTAAAATTGAGCGATTACTGGAACGGTTAGTTGGACATTTGATTATAATGGGGAGGGGGGATTAAAATTTCGATAAATTGTAAACTCTTTGTCAACTGCCCATTAAAATAGGTATTCTGTCACGAATACCCCAAAATAAGGACAATGTAATCCCACAATTTTAACTAAAAAAAAATATTTAAAATACCCTTCAGAAAACGAATTTTAAAATTTCTGATATTGTTTATAATATCTAAATATAGCTTTATATTTTTAAAAAACATTTATACAAATAAATTGCGGCATTTCTTGTCTTTTTTTATCCTAGATATTTTTCCTCCTACATTCTTGATTCCTTTTATACGCACGCGTTCGCGCGATGATTTATTTTTATTAACCGCTCCCAAAATATAATATTTCCCAAATCATATTATCTCCCCGGGAAATCCATATGGCACATTATTTATTTGTGTTCGCTTTGCCTAAATAATAATTCAATTCAATATATAATATATCAATCAACAAAAAAAAACTTCTTTAAAAAAAAACTCTTTTCTCTCCTCATGAAAAAATAAAAATTTAAGAATGAGGTTACAATCATGTTATTTTATATATAAAATCTAATTTTATTATTATTTTGATAAAAATTTAGTTTATAAGCCGAAATCAATTATTAAAAAAAAATTTGTCTTTATCGATTTTTTTGGGGGGGAAATTGGGGAAGGGGGGGGGGGGTATTTTTATGACCTATAACTAGTGTTGTTAAACGGCTCGTTTTGAGCCATTTTTTAAAATTATTGCGCAGGCCTTATAATTTCGCTTATAGATGGGGGAAAAGGTTTGCGAGGTTTAGGCAATATTTTTAGGGTTAAAATATTGAGTTTGTCATTTTTAAAAATATGTTCAAATTGAGCCGTTTCATCTTCCATCCCCTATTTCAAAATTTAATTTGAAGATATATAACGGTCCAGCGAAAAGTAAAGTGGTTTTGAACTTAGGGATTATAACGCGCGGTCATTTCACGAGTAAATGGTAAAATATGATTTTTAAAAAAAATTTAGGTTGGCGGTTCGCGTAGCATTGATTTTTTTTTGGTTAGAGTTAGCTGATTCGAATTCGCATTTTAATCAATATTCACTTTGAAGTTTAAGTTTTATTTTGACCGATAATAAACTGCCGCTAAAACTATATTATTGATTACATGTAGACTTTAACCCCCCCCCCCCAGGGTATAGCCTTATAAAAGGAAATTTTCAGAAGGAATTAGAAATGAACAAAATAAAATATTTGATTATAAGATTCTATTTTATATTATTGTGATTAAATAAATGAGTATAAAACAATTTTATTTTTTTAAAAAAAATTCCACCTTGAAAGGCAATTTCCAGAAATAATTTTATTTTTGAATTATTATTATTATTATACATATATTTCTTTTAGAATCTTGACCACTAGTGTTATTAGATTTTTACTCAATATTTTGGCCAGAAAAATATTGCCTAAAACCGTTTATAAAAATCGGCTTAAATCGAGCCGTTTAACCCCTCATTCTCATTTAGCGCTAATTCGCGGGGAAGAATACAAAAATACAGCATTTTTTATACACTTCATGCGAATTTCGCTCTGTGTGAATGAGGTGGTAACAACACTATTGACCACTATAAACCTTAAAATATAGATGTTTCTTCCGAAGGCCTAATACGTCGAAATTGGTTAAAGTGCTAAATAGCCAAAAAAGCCTCAATCCAATTATAATTTTTAATGTTTTTTTAGAGGACGGGTAAAATTTTCTCCTATCGCGAGTTTCAGGGTGTCATGAGCGAAAAATTATTTGGAAAAACCTGATATTAATGTTATCCATAAGGCTAAAATTCTAATCGGTGGTATGGGTCTATTGAAATTTTGGATTGGATTTTAATTTAAATATGATTTTTTTTAAAGTATCAATCATCAGGAGAAAATAAACTAAATTTGGAGACCCTTTCCGCTTCTGGATCAAAATCATCGCTGACCAATTCAGATCTTTTTTGTTTTTATTAACTAGATATCGTTTGGAAAAAAATTATTTATCGAAACAGCAGTTAAGACCAAAATATGTTTTTCCTAGTTTGAACCTGATTATAAATAACTGGTCGAAAGATAATTTACTAATTTTTAGAATGAAGAAAAGGGGGTTGGGTCTTATAATATGCTCAAATTGTTGAATCATTTTTCAAAATGATCAAAGTTGATTTTTTGTTAAACGGCTCGTTTTGAGCCGATTTTTAAAAACGGCTAACTCAATATTTCATCTAGAATAATATCACGCAAGCCTGAATATTTTGTTTGTAGAAGGAACAAAGGTTTGGACATCTATTAGCGAAATCTCTAGGCTTAGGCAATATTTTTCTGGCTAAAATACTGCATTAGCCGTTTAAAAATAGGCTCAAAACGAACCGTTTAACAACACAAGTAAAGTGTATTAGGACCATGTGAATATCGACGATCAAAACGATTATGGAATATGATAAAATATAAGTTACAATATTTTATCCGAAATTTTTCATTATCAAAATAATTTATAACTTGCTCATTTCTAAATTGAGTTAAAACTTCCTCTTTTTTTACTAGTGTAGTTAAATGGCTCTTTTAAAAAAACGGCTAACCCCATATATTATTCAAAAAAAATACACAATCCTTAAGATTTCGTTAGTAGATACCCAAACCTTTCTACCTTCTATATACCAAATTATTTAGGCTTTGCGTGATAATTTTGGCTGAAATATTGGGTTCGTTTTTAAAAACCGAGCCGTTTAACAACACAACTATTTACCCATACTTTTTTAAAATATTTCCCCGTTTTATTTGATGGTTTTTGTTTCTCTTTAGATCCATATATAATAACTAATATTATGGAAGATGGTAGTGTTGTTATAAAGCTCGATTTGGGGCGATTTTTCGAAAGGGCCCTATTAAGATTTTAGCTAAAATAATATCGTGGTAATCATCGAGATTTGGCTAATAGATGTCCATGCATTTCTGCCATCTAGGCAAAATCTTTAGGCTGTGCCATGAATGGCCATGTTTTTGCTTTTTTGAAAAAAGAATAGGATTTAACCAAACAAATTTGATATCAATGTGTAGCCAAATTATTAATATTTAAAATAAAATTTGAATTAAAGCTCTATCTATAATTGTTTATGAGCTAGATGAGGTTATGTGAATTCTGGCCAGTCAATTTGCCATATACTATGTGTTAACTGGCCATAATATATTAATTAAGAATTTTATTATAAATATGAAATATTACAATATGAAATATGAAATACTTGCAAAAGACCTATCTTATATATTTTTTCATTTTAGGTATATAAAAATTTAATTATACACTAATTTAATAAGTATAAGCATCTAAATTTTTCATCATCCATTTATTGATACTTTATAAATTAATAACTTAATTATTTTTTTGTTAAACAGTTTAATTTCAATATAAAATTAACCACTCTCATAAATTATTATCTTAATTATCTACATGTAGACTATTTTAATAATTTAATCATTCATCAATTTATAAATTTATGTTTAATAAACTTAGTTAGACAATATATTATTTAGAATTTTATTATAAATATGAAATATTACAATTAGAAATACTTCATGTTAATATTTCTTAATTTTTAGGCAATAAAAATTTAATTATAAGTATTAACATCTAAATTTATCATCATCTATTATGATAATATTTTATAAATTAATATCTTAATTATCTTTTTGTTAAACATTCTTATTTCAATATAAAATTAATCACTATCTATTTAATAATTTTATAAATTATTATCTTAACTATCTACATGTTAAAGTGATTTAATAATTTAATCATTCATGATGTTTAATAAACTTAATTAGGCAATTATTAATACACAACAATAATGAAAGCCATTTTATTAATTTATAAATGAAACAATTATAGTATCTTTATATACATAACAAACAAATAAATCATTGTTATTAGTACATTGAGTATGGGCCCATTCTTCACATTGCAGGCATTTAATCCACTCTTCACCTTTCTTGCTCTTTGAATATGCCCTCTTGCATATTATGCAAAGCCACTCATCATTAGTTTTCTTTAGATTTTTTTATATTGTTTTTTTAAATATTTGTTAATTTATGTTTTTTATAAGGTGATGAGGTTAAAATTTCTGATTTCTTTCTCCTCTTGTCTTTTTTGATAATATTATTGCTATATAAAATTGGATGTGATAGAATAGATTGTGAATTCAAATTATTATTGGGCTGATGACATGATGTTAAGCATAACTCATTATCAGAAGTGGTAGGCATAGGGCTAAGAGTGGAATTTATTGTATCATTTTCAGGATCACAATAAGCTAATTTTCTCACTGTCAGAGGAATATTGGATAATTCTGACATATCATCATTAGATATTAAATAACTATATTCAGAGAATATATCAGGGTTGAAGGGATATATCCCACAGGCTAAAAATCCATTCTGAATATTTTTGGGGGTTGTAGCTTTAGGAAGCTCCATTTTAATAATTGATGGTATTTCATATATGGTAAATGATTTGCCTACATGGTTTCTCATCCAATTGTCAATGCTGTTATTATAAAAAAATTTAAAGGTCCAAAGACTGATTTATCTAGTGGTTGTAACTTGTGGGAGCATTGTGGTGGTAGGGTGAGCAGGATTATTCCATTGTCTCTGCAAAAATCTATTGATCTTAGTGAGCAATGTGAACAATGATTGTCTAATATTAATAAATTTTTATTTGTTTTGGATGCTTTTGTTAGTTTGCAAATGAATGTATGATTTTGGCCAGTCAATGCCTGGCCAGACAATACTCACCTGTCTATTATTAATAAGCGCCTCTATATGTCTATTAAATAAAACTTTTAAAGTCTTATTTTTTGTGTGAATAATGCTAAATGCCTAAGGATAATATTTATATAAAATATCAGTAATCTAAATTAGTAATTTTTTCACCAAACAAAAAAATGTGTAACGTGATTTTTCCAGAAAGAGGTACCAAAAACAGTTTTTATAAAATATTTTTATATTGGATTGCTCTATTCAATAAATGAACCTAGGTAAGGTAAATATCATAAATATACACATTTTGACTAATTTTGAGAGAAATTGGTCCAATAGAAAAAAAGTTAAAGGGTGGTGGCCAGTCTTCAAACATGGCCATTTATGGCACTTCTCCCCTACATAATGTTATTTTGGTTATAATCTTAATCCGGCCGTTTATTTTTACCCTACTCTTTTTAACAACACTGGGTAGAGGTATATGACATTATTATTCGAAAAGATCTATTCAATATTTTATTATGTACATTCAATTCGTAAAATTTCGATGGCAACTATAGCCTCGGTCTATATTTTTATCAATCAAAGATGTCCAAGCATTTGTGCCATCTACGAGCAAAATCTTTAGGGCTTATATAATGTCATTTTGGTTATTCCCACTTTTTTTTATACAACACTAGGTAACGGAATACGACATTATTATTCGAAAAGATCTATTCAATAATTCATTATTATACATTTTAATTTCCATAAAATCTCGATGGCAACTATCGCCTAATTATCGATTTCCCCTCTATTCTTATCAATCAAACAAAACAAAAGAATGAGAGAGAGAGAGAAGAAAGATAGAGATTTTATATCGAAAAAAAAATTAAAATTTTCGATAAATAATAACATCATCGTACTCCCCCCTTATTATTCACCCCATTCTTTACTTCTTAGCCCTTTTCTTCTTCATAAAAGATTTTAATTTTTAATTTTTTTTTCAAACAAATAAAAAAATATTTTTTAATTTTTTAAATAAAAAAAAAAACTAAGGTAACGAACTTTTAACCTTTTATATCCCCAACTACCATTATTATTAATCATTTATTATGTAATTATCATTCCGTAGTTTTAGTTATATTGAACGTTGAGGTATAAATTTAATGTATCTCTTTAAACAAAAAAAAATGGCGCGTTTCTATTTCCCGATGATTTCTATTTTTTAAAGAAAAGAAAAAAAGAAATATAGAAAGGAGAAAAGAAAGAAAGAAAGAAAAGAGACCGTTCAATTTTTTTTTTAATACTAAAAATGCCAATGATCGCATTTTTATTTAACACAAATATAATGTCGTGCCTCATCACTTAGCCAAATCATCTTACCTTATTTTATTTTTATTTTTTTAAAAAAAAAAATTAATTGAACGTTAAGTAATAATAATAATAAAAAAAAATTTTATCAATCGGAATGGGGGAATACGTTGACTTTCAATATTGAAAAGAAAAGAATACAATATTTTTGTATAAATTAAAATAAAATGGAGAACGGAAGTTCAACGACTACGATTGTTTCAAAATAAAAAAAGAGAAGAAGAATGGATCGATGAATGGGTGAGTGAGTGAAAAAATGAACATGAAAAAGTATTAAAGTTTATGAAGAGCACGTGATAAATTCGGGTTCAGTCAAATACAAAATTTTAGGGGGAGGGTGGTATTATTAATAATCAGATTTATTTGACATCGGTTAGAGTCTAAACGTTAACCGATTAATTTGACAAATCTGTAATTTGGCCATTTTTTTATTAGTACCCCGGCCCTGCTTATACTGTATAATCGGTATGCGTAATTTATTCAAACTTTTTATAAATAATCTCATTTTTTTAAAATTCTTTTCCCAGATAACCGATATTTCCCGGATTATAATGCTATCGATCATTCGTCTTCCCCCAATCGTTCATCTTTGGGGCATTCGAAGAACGTTCTTTATCCCGGTTCCGGAGATGCCACCGGTTTGAAAAATTTACTATTAACGACGGGCCAACCCTATCCATCCAGTTTTCCTTTACTTTTCCCCCCATTTTACCCTCCCATGCGCTCGTCGCTCTCTAGTTACGATAGCAATAAGGGATTACCTCAGCACAATCATAAAGCCACGGAGATGGTACCCGCTATCGATAATAGCGAGATGGACGATAAACGTCGGAATATGAATCTACCGATGACTTTGAGGAGGAACGGGATCCAGAATAATATATTAGAAAATGGGCTTTCCCCTCAGGACAAAATTACGTGTGGTCATTGCCGACTCTCCTTCGATTTGAAGGACATTTCGTCTTTCGTCACGCACAAAATGAGGGAGGACAAAATCAAGAAAATTTCTACTAGATACCGTTCCCCGCCGTTCGACGAAAATTGTCCAAGGACCCCGTCTCCAAGTTGTCCAAAATTTAATCGCGATCCTCTACCTTCCGATCGTTTAACGATAAATGGGCGCTCGTATCATGACGAACAGTCAAAATTAATCAGGTCTTATTCCGAACCGACATTGATCGAATTCGAAAAATACTCGCATCATGATACGCTCCCTGACAGTGATAATAACATTATAGTTAATTATGATAATGTTGACAAAAACAACCTAACGAGATATACCGGTATCCCTAGACTAAGAGTGAACTTACTCAATACGGTAATCTGCGATGAATTATCGGACGTTAGGAATGAACATACTCAATACTATATTTTAAACGGGTTTCGGCTACGACCTAATCCTGATGGTTATTTAATCGATGCTCATCGAGCAACATTGAACCCCGTGACCAATGGTATATCCATGTTAGACGCTAAATATGACGTGTTGGAAGATTGTAACAAACTCGATCGTCATAAAAATTCAGATGAAGCAAATAAAAACAATTCTGGGGATACGAAAACCGCATATAAGAATAGGGACGATTGTACCCTATCGAAGAGTCGATCTTTCCCTAATTTGGTGGTTCGTCCTATTCTTTCTAATATGGCCGGCAAGAAGAATCGATTGAACTCTGATCAAATCAAGTCTTATGAAACTTCCACAAGCCGGGCGAAATGTATTCCTTTGATTTCTCTCTTGCGGAAAAACGACGACTCAAAGGATCTAAGTACATATATTATATATCTTACTCTTTAAATATTATAATTTTAAGATTTAAATAAGTATACCAGGGGGTTGGCACTAGTTAATGAGAGGCTTTACATCACCCCCACCCTCTTCCAAGCTAATAACTTTATTACATCTCTACCAAATCAAAATTAGCAATAAAAAGAAAGTAGTCAATATTAATAAAAGAAGAAAAAAACAAAATTAACAAAAGAAAAGTAAAATTATTAAAAAAGAAAATAAATCAAAATTAACATGCGATCCTCCCTACTCCCACCCCTGTTTAATGGTTATAATGTTAATCTGTGGTATGGTAGTGTAGAATTAGCAATAATCATGCGTCTAATTAATATAGTTTTATCTTCGTATAATTACTAATTTAAATGTTTTGTATTTATACAATAGTCATAGACGACAACAAGAAAATCGCGAATTTCGCCCATCGAGGAATAAAACCTTACAAATACTTTTGTGTTCGCTGCAAATACTCGACCAGCAGAGCCTGGCACTTGATTCTTCATTCAAAATTGGCCCACAAATATAATCTTTGCCGCTTGGGATACGATTACGTCCACGGTCTCGATAGTAAAATCAATAAATGTCAATCGACCCACAATTATTATCGTAACAAAAAAGATATGACCAACGGTAATTTTGTCGACTACGCAAATCGTTCTGGTAAACAGACCTATAGAGGAGGTTCATCCGATTCCAACTATTGGGATGCTTGGTTAAATCGCTCTCTAGGTCCTCCCCAGATAGTTCCTTACGAAAATTGTAATTTTCCTCCCACTAATTCCTATATTGGAGATAACAACTCTACCCGTAATGGTGCATTGCAAAAATTGATTTTGGAAAAGACCTCTGACCACCCGCTGTTTAATCATTTATACGATCGTAGATCAATGATGAATGAATACGCAAGACGTTACTACTCCGCCATTTATGACGAGACACCACCCTTAAAGGAGGATAAAAAGGAGTACATCGATAAGATATTCGGGCCAGGAATCGAAAAGACTCTTCAGCAACAAATTCGTGCAGAAAAAATCGAAATAAGAGATAGGGATACAAGAAAACAGGTCATTTCGGATGGGGAAGACGACGAATACGAAGAAGGGGAGGAAGGTGAAGAAGAGGAGGGAAACGCGCCAACTACTTCCTCTCATACCATTGATCGAAATTCGGAGAGTAGATGGATCAATCACGCATTCAGGAATCATGAATACGACTTTTACAATCCTAGCATGATTTTAACTAACAATAAGCGTGCCCGATATGATAGCCAAAACTATGGTTTTTCGAATAAGAAGCAGATTATGCCAACCGATGACAGACACCGCAAAGAATCTTTATCCAGTAACGGCAACGATATTAACCCTGAAATGGATATGGAAAATTTTTACGCGAGCAGTCCTTATCATTCAGACCCCTATTCTTGTCGTCAATACAATCCTGCCGCTAAGACAGGCATTTCGCCATACCATCCTGATAAACCTACCGGGAATAGATACTACTCTGCAAAAGATATTAAAGCCGATGCTAACGGTATAAATAGCAATAACTCATCTAACATGCAACCTCCTTCAGATACTCACACCGTTAACGGTACTAGCAATGGTGGTAACAATAAAATCAAGTGTTGCGAATTTTGCGGAAAGTCCTTTAAATTTATGAGCAATCTAATCGTTCATCGACGGTCCCACACCGGTGAAAAACCATACAAATGTTCTCTGTGCTCTCACGCTTGTACTCAGGCCAGTAAGCTTAAACGGCACATGAAAACGCATTTAAATAAGTCTCTACCTAGCGCGAATAATAATAATTTGGACCTTGTATCAGAACTTAATAAAACAGTCAACCCGTTTAACATAACCAACGATTCTTTGACTATCGACCAGGTGTCATCGCATCCCTCAGATTACGCTCCTCAATTAAATTACAGAGATCATCAAAATTATATGGTTAAAAGAGAGGGCGATGAAGTTGAAGAGGAAAGTATTTCACAACAGGGGCCTATAATCGCTTCTCACAATAGAGAAGCTGATGAGAATGATTCTAACGTATTGAAATGTTTAGATATCAACGCGAATTCGACCGAAAATTCTAAGTTTTCGCAATCGCATAGCGAATCATCTGAAGAAAAATTCGTAGAAAAAGTTTTCAAAGAAAGGGCCTTATTGAGTCGAGACGAGAAGATATCTTTATTAGGGCAAGTGATGGAAAATTATGGTCTCGATTGCATGCAGACATATAATGACGCTTACATGCAAGCTATTAAGGATTCTAACATGGGTTTCCCACAAAGAAATAAATGCTTGAACGAGATGTTAGATCAGGATTCTAACACCTCCCCATTCTTCGGCACTAAAAATAAGTTAGACGATGAGTTAAATCATTTCAAAAATTTGAAAACGATACAACATCACTACCCGAAAGACCAATTTGCGGCCGACAAAATTAGTGGCGACCTATCCCATCTTTACAAAAGGAATCCTACAATTAACGAGGAATGCAACGATCGCGAACCCACATTGAATGAAGATGACGAATATAAGAACAACGATCATTTAGTTATAGATGAAAATAATAGCAGATTATCCATAGTAAATACAACGAATAAAATTACGACGGAAAATGGTCTCTCTAATTCCGGTGAAGAAAGCTCTTTATTTCCTACGATGTCCACAATCAACAATGATGGTGTGATTCGCGACGCCATTTGGTCTGACAACACCTGCTTAACATCTAAAGAGGCAGAAACCAATCCAACCGAAACAGGTCTTGAGGATAATATTTCTGCTGAATTACCATCAACCTCTTATTCCCATTCCATTATCAACTCGAATATCTCAGTACCAGTTAACAATGTTGGTAACGATAACCCTCCGCCTGTCACAAACAAGAGAAGCGCCACATGCGAATACTGCGGCAAGCTTTTCAAAAATTGTAGTAATCTAACCGTGCATAGGCGAAGTCACACAGGAGAAAAGCCTTACAAATGCGCTTTGTGCTCTTATGCTTGCGCTCAAAGTTCTAAACTAACCCGACACATGAGGACCCACGGGAGACTAACGGACAAAGTTGTGTACAAATGCCAATTTTGTGACATGCCTTTTTCTTTACCGACAACACTTCAAAAGCATATGAGGAAATGCATCCTTTCCTTGAATTCTAATAATTTAATTAGCACCAACGGATTTAAGCAGGAATCTAACAACGGTGATAACGCTGAACACCACTTCCATAGTAATATAAATTCCAACTCTGTTACTTCGACATACCCTAACCTCAATGGCTTTAACGGGCCTCAACAACATCAGAACTTTGGTTCAAATTCTCTGGCCGGAATAGATATAGAAACGCTTAAGATGACTCCGAACGACTATTATACCAAGTACTTTGCCAATTCCGCCTTCATTAATCGACATCATCCATATTATCGTAAAAAGGCCGAAAATGGCACCAGGATCGAATACAAAAATCCCCCCATTCTTAACGGTGACGATTCCGCATCGGACAAGCTCGATAAAGGTTCTAATGGACTTGAAAATGGGAATTCACCTGGAGGAATTATTGAAGGTCAGGAAAAGGATGATGTGGCTTCCGTTTTTGCACAAAATCATTACAACTACAACGTTGGTAACCAAATTAACCAGCGAAGAACAACTGGTTACAATAAAAAGCTGCCAGCCCTTATCGGTAAACAGCGGCAGCATGGAGATGATGGAGAAGCTGAAGGAGGTATCGGCATTACTGGTGGTAACAACCATTTTGAACATAATAACGTTAAACTAAACGGAGTGCCTCTTCAAATGCAGGACCATAAAAGACTCCAGAGTGATTTCAATCCAATGACGGATCGAAGCCTCAAACAGGACGAAGAGGAAGAAGAGGACCAGGAGGAAGAGATAACAAATGAGGGAAATGATATGGAGAGAAAAGAGGTCGGGGGGATGACCAACGGTTTCGATAACGGTGCAGTTATTTCCCATTATATGGCAAGAATGGGTTTACCTTTCTTCCCTTCACCAAATAATAATATCAAGCCGCGTTCCGATAAATATTTAACAAGGAGACAACCATCTCTCTCTTTTTCCGACCCGCCATTGGTTCATTCTTCGTCTCAAGCCTCCTCCACTTTCGATTTCCATAATTTTTACGCTTCAGCCTATTATGCCAATTATGTTAAGATGGCGGCCGCATATTTTTCGCCGCCCCCTCCTAGTAGTTCTGACTACATGCGTAGCCAAATGAATGAGGTTAAGAGAGAAAAAGTTTCTCATGAGGAAGGAAAAAATAACATTTCGTAGCGATCGCCATTTTTAATCAATTTTGGAGCCTTTGGTTTTTTTATGTCTATAAAATAGATGTCATAATATTCTTAGCTCGTAGGTTGAATCACTTCGTTAAAGAACTAAAACATAGGGAAATTAAGATATTTTCCAGAACCCGTTCATAGCGTAAATCGCACGTCATTCACATACATTGAACATATTGTAAATTTATTCGTTTATCTTTATTATAACTTACTATATTATAAAATATATTATAGATAAATCGTTCGACAAGTTATATAATCTCAGGGACACATTATAAATCATTAAGTTCCATGTATTTTTAATGTATAAAAAAAATATAAATATAGCCATACCAACTCTGCACCTAAAATAATCCCCATCCAATTTGCGTTAATTTATTTTATTTTTTTGCGGGAAGTGCCTAAAAACTTTTCCCCCCGCAAAACATTGCCTTTTAATTTTTAATGAACTAAAAAGTATCGAATGCAAAAAAATAAATAAATAAAATCATCATTTTTTGGAAAAATAAGGATCTCGTTCTCGACTAGCATGTTACGAAAATGGACAATTTTTTTTTTATTTCCTATAATTCGACCTTTTTTCCCTTATTCACATTCATTTTTTTTAAAATTTATAAATCATTTATTAAATTAAAATATGTACATATTTATTTCAAGTAGATTTACCGATATATATATATATTAGACATTATAGTTTAAATTTTTTAAACACAAAATCTAACAAATCTAAACAACAAAATAACACATTTAATTATTAAAATTTATATTTGACAATCTTTTTTTTTCTCTAGAAAAAAATATATTTAATTTCTTTATTTAAAAATTATTAAATTTTTTTTTTGATAACGAAAAATCTTATATATATCAATTTAAGCTTGTTTTTTATTTCTTTTTTTAACTGTAAATCTACTAGCACCATAAATAGCTAACATGTATAAAAACATATTATAAACTTTTTCATTAAATTTCAAAAAAAAAATTAGACTATATTTAGATTGATTTCTTTTCAATCGAATTTTTTCTTTACCTTACCCATTCTTCTTTTTTTTTTAGAGAAAGCTTGAAATGATCGTTAGAAATAAACGCTTTCCGCTTTCCCGATTCGCTTCTTACTTATGAATCTAGCCTGACAATCTTTACTATATAACTTTCCCGCGTGAAATCTTTATATATATATTTTTTTTAAAAAAAAATCATAATTTTATATTGGAAAAAAACACCGGTAAAAAAACAAAACAGAAAGAGAAGAACGGAAACCCAAAATTGATGACAATCACATACACACGGGTGCATCGTTATATTAGAAAAGTTTTTTTTTCGGACATTTTGTAATAATTTTTTTTTATAGTTTTTGTCCATAACCCGGTAGATTTGTAAAACACTTTGAAAAATATAATATTTTTACCTCAGTATTTTATTTCTTTCTTTTATAATATTAATAAAAAATAAATATATATTATACAACATATACTATACAATTCATTAAACATAAAATAATATTATATTCCTCTAGAAAAAAAAAATTTTTTTTGTTCACCCCCACCCTACCACATATGCAAAACCTTTATAAAACTATATATTTTTTTTGAAGAAGTAAATATTTATATTATGTTTATATAATTAATAACTGTTTTATTTTTTAATGCTTAAATATTATTATATAACCTTTTTTGGAAAATTTATATTATAAAAATACCTATAATACTATACAATTTTTTTGACTCCAACATTTTTAGAAAAGTTTCTAAAATAAATTAATAAATATGACTGGAACGAGCAAACTTTTTAAATATGATAAAGCCTTATTTAGATACTTATTTGTGTAAAGAAAGAAGAAAGAGGGAAACATTTTTAAACGGTGTCTTTTAGAGTTTATTTTATCTTTCTAAGGGATGTTAGACTCAGGACCGGGTAGCACCGAGTATTATACCAGGAAGCTCAGCGTGATTGGCTAGAGTGAGAGGGGTTATTGAGGCCTCTGGTGAGACTCGACGAGCATTCTTTAACTAAAATGGAAGGATTTGATCAAGAATTGATAACTTCATAATCTGAATTAGATTATGACGTTTTGGTTGGACAAATCCAGATATCTGTCAGATAATTTTGGTTTTATCCTGCTTAAGACGAAGTAGGAATGTTTCTTTCCTACCATTTTTATCTTTTTCATGTTTAAGTTGCTCACAAAATCGGGAGTGAGAGAGAGTAGATTAGCAAAATTATCCCAGTTTATATATTTTTTTTAAACAATTCGTTTTTGGTAAACGAAAACCTTATTTTAACTCTGACGATTAGGATTATATTATAGAATAAATTTTCTTTTAAGCTGTTTGATCATTGTCCATAATTAGGGTATGAATGACCAAGATAATATTTTATTCCCAACAGAGGAGCCACTCTAAAAAAAAGATTTTTTAAATGAGGAATGAAAAGTGTTTACATATATTAGTTAAAATATTCTTAAAGTAGTAATAAAGCAAGGATTATATCATAAGCACTTTTCGATGCCTCATCTAAAAAAGATTTTTGTCATATTTTTAAACAAAAACCTGTTTAAGCCGTTTGTATAACTTCTTCTAAACAAAATAAAAGGAAGAGGCTATTTAAATTTAGTTACACTTAAAACAAAACAGAATAGGGTGTCCCAATTCAAAATCTGAATAGATGAACAAAAAGTTTCCAAAGATAAGACGAGAATTTTTGTTTAAATTTAATAAAAGTATAATTATTCTAACAAGTATATATTATATAGAGGTCGAAGCGGGGTAGAAATGTGTGAAGATTTTCGGCCTAGTCCAAATTTTTATTCGCGCTGCCCGTAAAATAATTTTATACAAGATATCAGGGCCGTAATAATTTTTTATGAAGGAAAATGACATGTTGCCTAATTGTATGCATTAAAAAAAATTAGAGAACCTCAAAGGTAAGAATATTGCCCAAGTTGATATTAAAAAAAAGTTGGAGATTGAATATTTAATTTTTTAAAGTGAAACTTTTATAAAAAATAATGTTCACGGCATTGCAGATTAAAACACATTAGTAGAATAGTTAAGCAAGTCAGTCAATTAAGACTAATATTTTTTGACCCATCTATTCAAAAAGCTTAAGATCTTGCAAAATTGGGATTGATCCTTTATTGGGAGTGTTTCAGCACCCGTAGTTAACAATGTGCCTCCTAGGCAATTAGGCCCATTTGGGTGTATATTGATAATGTAAGAGAATAATTACATTAATTTAGTTGTTATAGGTGTCTATTTGAGGGTTAGGCGTTTACACGAAAGACACTGACATAAGTCATGCCCGATAAATTGCAATATAATAAATGCATGCGCAGAAACTCCATATATAATTATGGCAATTTAAATATATTATTATTGTTACATAAATTGTTTCGCTAATTTAGTTAAATATTAAATTGTTTTCAAAGAAACGGAATGCAAACGATGGGCATGAAACATAGTTGAATTTTTTCAGTAGCGGTTGCCATAACGAGCTAGCGAGCTAATAGCGATACGGGTAGCGAGTTCCTTTTTATAGAGTAGGTAAGTAACACGCTATTTTGGGACATTTAATTTTATATATAAATACAATTTTGAAAATAAATTTCAAAATTATAATCTTTAAATTTAATATAAAATCTACATTATAAATTAAATTTTTCAAGTAATTTAAAATGATAAAATGCCATCAATAGATATCGAAATGGAAGATAATTTCGATAGTTAACGATAAAATTTTATTTAGAAAATAATATAAAATATTTTGAACTCAAAAAAAAATTAGTAAAGGATTTAACATATCGATGTATAAAATTCTGGAGGATAATATCTACCAATAAATCAAGCAGCTTCAACCTAAATAAAACATCTATAAGCATTATTCAATAATTTTATTTAAATAATTACTCTTTTAAATGGTAGAATATATATACACCTCAAATTTCTGAGTGATTGAAAAGTATCTTAATAATTTTGGTTACTACATAAGTCAAACTTAATTGATCAATATCCTACAATATAAGTGCTAGGTGTTTTAAAAATTGCCTGAAAAAGACATAATCAATTTTATATTGATACATTAAGGCCAATTTCCTTAACATTCATTTACCAATCTGATAAATAATCTCTTCACAGCATATTTTACCAGTAAACATTGATGGCAAGAAATCTGGCTAATTTTTCAAGGAATGAAAAAAGCTTTTATTATTAATCTTTCAAGTTATGGTTTTTTTAAATTTGGAGTTCGATTTTTGTGATAACATAGGAAATATTTTTTTTTAAATTAATTTCAATTTTACATTATTAAATTTTATTATTACGTCGCCGATAATGGCGATACACTTAATTAATTGGTAATTATTAAAAAAAATTTTCGATATAAAAAATAACGTCGACATAAAGAAATGTAGTGAGTTAAAATCTTTTCGAAGTCAAAAAATACATCTTTTTATAAAATAAACATCTTTTGTTTAAACAAAGGGACGACTTCAGGCTCTCATCCCCAGAATTATAAAATAGAATTAATTATGTATGTAATTATATATACTACAAACAACAGATCGTTAGACTCATAATAGTAGATAAAATAAAGTATTTATTTTTTTAATTTATAATCTAATATTATTATTTTTTAGTGTCTTTTTTAGAAATAGTTGGCCGTTAGCAAGATCCTAAAACTTTCAAACGAATATTTGCGACAGTAGCTCTAAAATAGATAATTGACATCTAAGGGTATTTGCAAACATTAGTTTACCACATCACATCCATATATCTTTTAAAATTCAGAACAAGGTTGATGATGATAACGTACTAGTTTTATGTTAAATTGGCCTTATATTCATTTAAACAGGATCCAAAGAGCAACTAGATAAGCCATGGGGTACGTATACGGGTTATACGGGTAATTCCATGACAAATCGACCAGAGATTCGGCCGACCATCTTAAAAATGTGTAAAACTTGGTATGTTAGTTGTTTATGTTGTAAATGTTAATAAAATGGAAATTTTAGAGCGCTAGCTCAACCAGATCCAAAGATATACGCCTTCAAAGTCAAAATCGCGATGTAGGTGATTTAAATAAATCTTGTTTTTTTTTAAAAAAAGTATTTGAAATAGAGTTACAAATTATATATCATCTTATAGCCCTTAAAATTTTACGTTGGAAAATATTTAAAAAATTCCAAGTATTTTCTTATTTCCGGTAAAAGTAAAAATTAACAATATCAGGAAGGGATTTTTTTTTGGGTGTTGATGTTCTCTAAAAATGTTTATTATTTTATATTAAATGATTTAATAAAAAACCTTGATAGCCATTTTTATTTTTTTAATTTTATTAAAATTTTTATTATTTTTATAATTAAAAAATTATAATATAGATGGCGTTATATTGAAAATATTTTATAATATAATATATTTAATAAAACTATGTATTATATTGGTATTAAAATTAAATAAATCGATTATAAATAATTATTATGATATCCTGGGACAATAAGTAAGGAAGCAGCCCAAACGGATATGGTTATTAGGACGATATATTTAAAAATAACATATTTTAAAATTTTATATAAAAACAATTATATAAAAACCCACTTGTTTTAATCTTTTCCATTTTGCGTTGAGCGATAATTTGTAGGTACGTGCCGTCACTATTATGGTATCTAAAATTGTTATTATTTGCAGGATGGTGATGGTTCATAGGGTGTAAAAAGGAAATATATATCTCCTCAATAAATTCATTCTTTTTTAGTACTGGCTAAGCACCAAAAATCATAAACACATGTTACGAATCCATTAATATCAGCAAAAGAGATTATCGGCATTTGAGATATTGTTAATTTGTGAGTCCTCTTCATATGAAATATTGATTTAAGTTTACTTAAACTCAAAGGAAATACCGCATGTATTTCCCGAGTTCCTGGAATGGGGCAAGCTAAAATGAATCTTTCAAGTTGTTTAATCTTTTCTAAATTGTATTGTTTGTTGGTTATATATGTAAAATTTACTGATGGCATGTTTTGTTTTGCAAACTGTTATAAACCAACTGGTGTTAAAATGTGTCTAGAACTGGTGCGCTGAAAGCTTGAACGTGCTGCTAATCTTTTAATGTTCTGCCAAGGCCGTCACATGAATCTTTTCCATGGAATGTAGTTGAAAAATGTCATTCAAATGCTACACCAAAATTTGATTCATGATAACACAGATTTATAAAAAAATTATTTTTATATTGCGCAGCTGTTACGTCAGAGCAGTAATATATTTTACTTGGCTTTTTGCTGAATTGATTCATCAAAAAAATAATGAGAGTATATTCATAACAAGTGAAAAGATATATCTACAAATTATGGCTTCAGGAATTTCTATTAATAAGCACAAAATGGAATATGATAAAAATAAGAGATATGTTTTTAATATATTTTGAATAGAAAATTTTAAAATGTTTATTTACAATATAGCGTCTTAATAATAATCATATCTGTATGGGCTACTTCCTTACTTATTGCACCAGGACATTATATTAGTTATACTTAATTGATTTTTTAAAATACTAATATAATACATATTTTTATTAAAAATATATTATAATAATTTTAAATATAACGCCACCTATATTATCTTTTTTTATTTATATAAATAATAAAAATCTTAATAAAATTAAAAAACAAAAATGGCTATCGAGATTTTTTATTAAATTGCTTAATATAAAAATAATAAACATTTTTAGAGAATATCAACGCCCAACCTAACAATGTTAATTTTTTTATTTTAGCAGAAATAAGAAAACACTTGGAATTTTTTAATTTTTTTTCTATACTTTCCAATATAAACTTTTAAGGGCTAAAAAATGTTATCTCTATAATTTTGATTTTATAAATAAATATCTAACATGTCAAATTTAGTTTATTTTAAAGATGGTCGTCCGAAAATCTCGTTTTTTTGGTTTGACGTGCAATGACCCATACCAAACAAAAATGCAATAGATAATACATGAAAAAAGTCATCTACTATAGAGAATTTTTTTTTTGAAATAAATGATAATACAGTAAAACATCTTCTAGCTTAGGTACTTTTTTAAAATCTAAAATTACTCAAATAAGTATTTTTGTTAATTTTTTCTTATATACGGCCCTCAGGTACTTTAGCGATTATTTAGTGAGATAAAGCTCATGCTTTCTGATAGTCGCTCTAGACTTGGGGATGATAATAGAGATGATGATAAAAATGTAACAAAAATATAATATTTTAAATTTTTAGTCATATATTTATATCAATATTTATTTTATAACATGTTTGAATTTGAAATGTTAGTTTATGGAAATAGAGATCCTACATGCTTTCAACAATGGCGATTCGGAACCTCTAAGTTTTATATCGTTTTGCAGGTGAGATTTTTAAATTTCAAAAATCTGATTTGACTGGAAATGCAGCATACGTAGAATTAAAAAAATATCAGAAAATTTTCGCCATAATTTTAAGTATCTTTTAATTTACATTTTTTAAAAAAATCTATAAAAAAAATTGATATAAATTAAAGAATACTTCAAATTTTCTTGGCAATCATGAAATTCAGATATATATATAAACTCAATAAAAGGAAAGTGGTAATATTTTTTTTATCTTTATTATTTTTGAATTTAAGTAAAACCTATACAAAGTATATAATTTATGAAAATCTGGAATAATGTAAAAGTAAAGATACAATTAAAATATATAATATAAATTTTTATTTATTTTTTATTATATAATTAAAAATGAAATGAAAATCGTGATTATATTTATATATTGGGCTTTCTTTCATTTTATATAATATATTACAAAAAAAATGATTTATAAACTTGGTGCCAATATAAGAAAATAAAAATAATATATAATATAAAAAACTTTAATCAGTGTCTCGCTAACTCAACAGTGCTCTAAAGTGGTGCAGCATACTTTTGCCACTCCCATACTTATTCTGTAATATTTTACTATAAACTATTATTTATACAATTACAATATAGAAATTTGGTTAATTTTGGAATTATTTAATAAATATAGTGATTCTATAAAATCATTTATGAATAACATCATTTAATTTACTTAATAAAATAACTTCTTTTTAAAAAATATAAAATATGCTAGTATATAAGTTTAAAATTATAGAAAGAAAGAAAAATACATAATTTTAATTAATCCAAAAAAAACATTATTTGCTAAAATATTTCTTGATTAGATAGTTACGTAGATTGAGGAGTGCCTTACTTCTATGAGATATCGAATTTTTTTGAGAAGATGGCATTTGAGCAAAGGTTAGTCTCCTAGCATCGTTGAGGGGTATATTCATGTTAGGGCCACTATCAGGTTCAAAACACGGATCCCAACCAAACCCATTATCACCCCTTGGTTCCACTATTACACCCCTTGTCATGCCTGGTATTGGATATTATATTTAATATGATTATAAATAAATATCATATTTTTGGATAATGTATTTCATTAGTTAAAATTAAAATAAAATTGTTTTTGATTAATTATTAAGCTTTCATGTAATAATAATTCTTAGTTTTAATACCTTAAATTTTTTTTAAAATAAGACAAATTTACCTTTAAATAGTAATATATCAGCTATATTCAGGCATTCCAGGTGGGTATTCAAGCATAGAGATATTTTTATCACCATTGGCATGTATCTGTTTAGAAGAGTCAGGTGCTATCATATTTCTTTTGATATAATTATTGTCATGAGTTATAGTGGAAGAATTAGTTGATATAGATTCAGGAAGATGTTGCCCATCTTTCTTATTTTGACACTCATTGGATAATAGTAGAAAGTTTGATTGTAGTTTCTGGCATAAATTTAGTATAAATGGCAAAAGTGCAAACTGCAGTTGCAGATTTATCAGGAAAGGCTTGTAATGTGTTAAACAAGCCATGAGGACCAATTGATTTTATAAACCATTTTATGTAAGGACCAGGTAATGACCCTCCCCATGCATCAAAATTAAGAGCTGTATCTTCTATCATGATTAGTGTTGTTGAAGGGTTTGTAGAAGTGACCTGTGTATTTTGGCATTGATTAAGTGAGCTAGAATATAAATGACTTGTTTTAGGATTTAAATTAGTTGCAATCCAATTGGTATCTGAGCTTATGATTCTTAAAGCTTCAATACATTTAGCTCGTGTAATATCATCAGGGTCTTCACTTTGAAATTCCAATAAATCTACTTCATAAGGAATTATCTATTAAAAATAAAAAATAGATTTATTAATAAATATAGTCTTAAATAATATAATATTTTATATTATATAAAATAAAATGTCAGTAACTGTTAAAAACAACAATATAAGTGTAACAAATTAATAGTGCTATCAAAATATCACAGTCAACAGTCCATATATAGAATGTATATTTAAATCTAAACTTATTTTTCTTATTTTAAATAATGCTACAAGTGGATAATGTCCATAAAAACAGAGTAGGGAAGGGGAAGTCAAGTGTCGCCATATTTCTTTAACAAATTTTGGAGATAAGGAGTGTGGGCAAATCCCATATATGTTGATTCCAATTTTACTTTTTTAAATTGTGGACCAGTAGATATTTTTTTTAAAAATTAATATTATACTTGAATTGGCAAGTTATCTGCAAGTATTGACTTAACTTCCCTAACTTTATTTTTATTTGATGATATAAATATAATATTTAAAGTTGTTGAGGTTGACATTTCATATATTATAATGTTTCGATGATTTATAAGGCCCTAAAATATGGATATTTTTAAGGTTAATTACATAATGCTAAAGCCCTACCAATAGAAAATAACAATTTAAAAGAGATGAGCAAAATATCACATTATTAAGGTAGTTGGATAATGCTACATGTATTGCTGTGCGCTTTCTACACCCACTAAATAAGAGGCGATAAAAGCCAATTCCTTAAACTCCATGGTCCTCTCCTATTCCTACCTCTTACTTTCTACTTGCTATTGCCGTTGTTCGCTTAGAAATTGGTTTTCTTCACACAAAAATTTCGGGTAAATAGATTTCATTTAATTCAATAAAAGCAATAATAATAATATTCTGCCAAAAACGACCTCTTTATACGTAATTCAATATAAATAACATGACTCATTCTGAGCCACACAATCCAAAGTCAAACCAATGCTCCAATGTTAACAAACTAAATTATTGCATGTGATAAATATAATAAATTTATAAACAAAAACATATATATCAAATAAATATAAAAAACGCCAAACATGACATTTGCCACCTCTCTAATTAAAATTGATAAAAAAGTAAATTCACTTCAAATTATCAGCTGGATCGTAACTAGGATCCTATTATAGAACACCTGGACGAGAGAGAACAAGGATCTTATAATTTTTTATTATGATCTGAAATGGTATCCAACGAACTAAAATTGCATAATTCGTTTTCTTTATCATTTTTGTTGCAAATAATCGGATTTAAACATGAATTAGGTAATAAATAAAAATATACCACATAACATATCTAAATTAGGTAAAATTAATCTTAATTTATATAATATTAGCATTAAATTATACAATATTATCATAATTTATAATAATCATAATCATAATTATTTTTGGATAATAATTTATTTAATATTTGTCAATGGCATCAGCAGCAAGAATTTTCTTAATTTTAGATAGAATTATTTTCTTACTTTTGCTAATGTTAGATTTTTTTTAAATGAGCCTCCTCAAGTTGAAATAGCTATCTACGCCAGTCTGTGATTATTATAATCAAACTCAATATTTTAATACAATCAAAAAAAATTAAAATTGTACGTGTTCCTAAAATTTTTAAGGGTTATAAAAACAGAAGTCTAACCACAACCCATGAAAACTGAACCGGACCTATGTAATTTATTTTTTAATAAACATGAATCGAATCGAACCTTCCTTTTTTTAAACTTATATGAGTTAATTGAGAATATATAACTTTATATAACCGCTTAAACAGGTTCATATAGTTTTTTTTATAAATTTAAATATAAAAATTTATTTTTAATATTGTTATCTTATATCTCTAACATTTATTTTTTTAGTGTTATCTTTTTCAATTTATTTTTCAAGGCTACATATTATATATTTACCAAGTAATTTGTTTTAAAAATTTTTTGTTAAAGATTTTATAACACTATTATGTATTATGGAATATGCTATTCAAACTACTAAAAATTATAACAATAATAATTAATAATAAAAATTTACTGATGATTAAGTGCATTTAAATAAACAATTTTTCAAAATTATCTTACGCCTAAGATGAGATATTTCAATCTTCTAATAGATTAAAATAAAATAAATTAAAAAATGCGGAGCAAATATTAAATATATGGCTCAAATTTCGAGTGACATGTTGAGCGCTTCAGGATCTTATGAATTTCTAGCTTATATAAATAAAAAATTTACATTGAGATAACCTAGATACTTTAATCTATCGTTTTTCCAATAGTACATTGGAAGACCATTATATTCAATTGATATTTAGCCATTAGGTGCTTAAAAAAATGGCCAAGACAGAATCAATTGGAAATATACTTATTCTGAGAATGAAAACTCTAATTTACGAAGTAGGAAGAAAGGGAAAATATATGAATAAGAAAGATAAGGGGAATGAAAAGGGTAAAGAAAAAAGAAAAGGAAAATAAAAAGGTGGAAGAAAAGGGAATAGGGAAGGTAATAAAAAAGGGGATATGGAAATAAAATTAGTAAAGTAAAATGGAAATGGAAAGAAAAAAAGAGCGAAAGAAAAAGAAAAGTGTTAAGAAAAGGGGGAAAAGTTAGAGAAAAAGGAAATTAAAAAGAAAGGGGAATCGAAAACATGGGGGAAAAAAGAAAGTGAAAGGGGAAAAGAAAGGGAAAGGTAAACGTGAAGAGAAAATTGAAAGGGGAAAAAAATGAGAGAGAAAAGAAAAAGATTGTAAAATGAGAAAGGAGAGGTAAGAGGGAAGAAAAGGGAAAGGAGAAGGAAAATGAAATAAATATGAGGGTAAAGGCAAAGACAAAGCGAAATGAAAGGACAAAGAGGAAAGAAGGGAAAAAATAGAGAATTATAATAAGAATAGATAAAGAGATAAAAGGAGAAAGAAATGAAAAAAGGAAGAGGAGATAGGAAAGAAAATTGGTAGAAAAAATAAGGAAAGAAAAATATGAAAGGAAAAAAAGGGGGAATGGAAATAAAAGAGGAAAGGAAAGGGAAAAAAATAGGGAAAAAAATAGGAAAATGAAAAGGAAAAAAATAGAAAGAAAAGTAAAAGAAATGATGGGGAAAAAATTAAAGAAAAATAGAAAGAGAGAGAAAAAGGAAATAGGATAGAAGAGCGAAGATGAATGAAAAAAAGACAATGAAAACAAAAACAAAAAGGGAAAGGAAGAGTGATAGAAAGAGAAAATGGAAAAAAGGAGAGAAAAGTGGTAGAAAAGGGGAAAACTAGAAACGAGAAAAGGAAGGGAAAGGTAAAAATAAGAGATAGAGGGAAAGGGGGGGGGTGAGAAGGGGCAGAAAAAGTAGAGAAGGAAAAGATAAAGGGCAGGAGAAGGAACGAAAGGAAGAAAAAGGGGGAAGAAAAGAAGAGAAGAAAAATATGAAAGGGAAAGAAAAGGGGAAAGAAGAGAGAAGGGAAAGAAAAAGAACAGGGAAAGAAAGGGCAGGAAAAAAAGTGGAAGTAAAGGAAAAAGATAATAGAAGAAACAAGGAAAGGGAGGGGGAATTGAAAGGAAAAGAAGAGAAGAAAAGAAAAGAAAAGAAAAGAAAAGAAAAGAAAAGAAAAGAAAAGAAAAGAAAAGAAAAGAAAAGAAAAGAAAAGAAAAGAAAAGAAAAGAAAAGAAAAGAAAAGAAAAGAAAAGAAAAGAAAAGAAAAGAAGTAAATAAAAAAAGGTAAGGAGAATTATAAGGTAAAGAAAAGGAAAAGCGAAAGAAAAAATAAAAGCAAAAAGGAATGGGAAAGGAGATAAAGGTCAAAGAAAAGAGGGAAAAATATATCGGTTTCCTTACAATATATCCCATAAATATCTATTTGAAACTATTCTCTAGCATAAGTATTGATAAATGATTTATGTTAATTATGCTAGTAAGAATTAATAGTTGGCCAATTTACATACGTTATAACAATAATTTTTCATAAATATAAATAGTCAAAATTTTTAGGAACTTTGAAAGAACTCATAAACTATAAAATGAAATCAATCCATCATAATATTGTATGTTAAAACCATGGTTGCCAGATCTCCCGCTTTTGCTGTAATTTCCCGATTATTTAATTTACGTTCGACTCTCTATCAATGAGGGTAGAGAGTGAAAGCAATATCAAATGCGCCTACAAAAAAAATATAAGATGAAGGCAAGAATTAAAAATTAATCTATAGAAAACCTATTTTTCATTCGCGGTGAAGTCGTGAGTAAGATGAGTCATGATATTAATTTAGAAGATAATGAAAAAAATTAATTTGGAGAGATAATATTACGTTCGAAGAAAGGTTATCATATTATAATGATAGAATTATTATCCCCGGTAAAAGAGGACCGTTTGCCAGTCATTCATCAAAAACAATCTGATATGGTAGGAGTGATAGGATTATGCCGATGCTATATTTTTGGGCAAATCTTGATCGTGACGGTGAAGATTTTGTTAATAGCTGCAAGAGTTGCTAGGGAAAATCGGGAGCCGGAGAAGTGTCGTTAAACAATTGGAACCTCCCTCCCTCCTGACCTAGAAAACGAATCCACATTAATGACAGGCCCCATTTCTGGAAAGTATTGATTAAATTGAGTATATGCCTTCACCAGGTGGGTTGAAGTTGCAATTTTAACGCATATTAATTCGGCGAGTGTAATAAATTATCTGCGAAATTATCTTGCTAGATTTGGATTACTTCGTTATATTGTTTTAAATTTCTTTTTAGAAATAATATAAAACATTTTAGTTAGGTCCCATACAGCCCATAGGCTCAGGCAGTAACTGGCTGGCGATCTTTCGGGGCAACGAGAGGGATAGGCAGTCATCCGAGTAAGATAGACGTGGTGGCCTCTTCCTCCTTCTCTTCTTGTACGAGTTTCTGTTTTTATTATTTCTCTGAAGACCTTGCCCCCTGTTGTTTCCTTTCCTTCAATTTTCAAATTCTCGAACAAACTTGCATCATTATCGTGGTAACTTTTCTCTTCGATGTTAAACTTTCTGAGACGACTACGACAACTTTCTTCTTCGACACGTCTCTCCTCTAACCTATGGGTGAGTTCGTGAACGCGGGACATGATCATGAGCACTACTACGATAAAAATGTTGGAAACCTGACCAGATAAATCTATCAAATATTTTGATTACTCACCACAACTCACCAAGACGCATTAAATCAGTGGAAATTATCCATGAAGGAAAGGACCAAATAAAAGTATTATAAACACAGAAAAGTTGAGGGCCGTTTAATATAATCAAGAGGGGATAGAAAACGAAAGAGATGGCATAAAGAGACTGTGGTTCAGAGTAAAATTGAGATATCAAGCATGCCGATCAACTTAAAGATGCTCACGCTTGAGTAAGGCAAATACTATTAGATGGGAGAGGTCGATCACGTAAAAGATAAAGAAAAGACTTTAACAAAGAGCTTCGAAACACCCATTATGTTATTATGACGAATTTAATTTGTAATTAATGTATAATTGATTGTTTTTTTTGATCAAAATATATTAACGTAATTGATTGTATCTATTTGAATATAAAAAAGCGATTCG